TGTGTGTGTGTGTGTGTGTGTGTGTGTGTGTGTGTGTGTGTGTGTGTGTGTGTGTGTGTGTGTGTTTTACCTGACCTAGCAAAGCTTATCGCCGTTACAGACGCACAAACAAGCCCGTGTTTGTGACTGTCTTGCCGGCCCCCGATGGGATTAGACGTTTAGTTTTTATTTTTTTGACAAGTCACCCGTTGAAGGCCGCCTGAGGTCGCTTCTAATATTAATTGTCATAAACTGGAGTATGTCATGTTAGCCTAAGGACTCAACTGCATTTCCGGCATGCGCTTATAAAATAAAAGTTTATTCATGCGGCGAGTGAAACACAAATGACCAACGCCGCATCTAAAATCTTTTGGTTTCTAGTGTATCCTTACATTGACATTCGTCCTGTAGCTGTCACCTTTGTTTTACATTTGCACCTCTATACATAGGCTACTAGTCATGTTTCAGATTACTACGGATCGTGCAAAGCGCTCAGTTGCAGAAATAGCACCCCTCAAATTATTTTTATGAGACATTTCTATCACCGGCTGCATCTTCCTACCTTGACTTATCAATGAAGCATTTCCCTCCCATTTGGCAACAATTTATTCCCCCACCAGTTCAGACAGGCTTTTTGCTTGGACTGGAGTCAAATTTAAAAAGCAGCTGGCAAAACAGCTGGAACAATTTTTCTTACATACACTTTCTATAGGAATGTGAGCTCTGTGTGCGTGAATGTGTGTGCATGCATATGCGCAGTGTGTGTGTGACCTACATCCAACTCACTCGGAAGAAGGAGTTGGCCTGCAGATTGAGCTGTGAGACCCTTGGGGTCTTGCATGGTTATTGTACACCCTTTTCTGCAAAGTTTCCAGCCCTCGTTTTCCGCTGGCCTGCTGCCTGACTGTCTTTACAGTGGCTGACGTAAGGCCACACTGTGAGCAGTGAGGTGGTGTACTCCACGATATAGCTCAACTGTTACACACGTAAAGTGCAGGATTTATAAATCAATACCGGTGGTCTAGTTTTGTTGTGATGATTCGAAGCCTTTTGATGTCTTTTTTTGTTCCGACGCAGTACAACAGAAACTGTACTTGCAGATGTTAGCAATGACTTGATGTTGACATCACATCAGAAGTTTTATGAAGTCATTCTAGCAGGATGACAGCACGGTGATCTCGTGGTTAGCATGTCTGCATCATAGCCAAGAGGTTCTGGGTTTGAATCTTGAATCAGGCCCTTTCTTTGTGGAGTTAACATGTTCTTTCTTGCATGCTTGTGTGGGCTTTCTCCAGATACTCCCCCCCCCCACCCCACATTCTCAAAAGAACCATGCTAGGTTAATTATAGACTTGTGAACGTCAATGATTGATTGTCTCTGTGTTTCCCGCAATTGGCTGGCGATTAGTGGAGCGTTCCATCTTTCACTAGCTACAACTTGTTTAATAAAGGATTTGTTTTGTGGCTCTTCACTCCTCTGACTTGGGTGCAGGCAGTGCATGTCCACTTTCCACTCACTGACAGCATGAATGTGAGTGCGATTGTCCAGTGACCCTGAATAAGATGAGCGTTATTGTAGAAAACTGATAGTTGGATGGATTTGTGTGTTTTTGAATAGATGCATCTCTATTGCAGTGTTGACTGCTCTTCAAATGCGTGGACTGACGTGAAGATTGCCAAAGTGAACCGTTTCTCACAAATGATCATCCGCTTTGTCGTCCTCATAGGCTCCAGCTGACCCCCTAAGGAGGCAAAGCGCGATAGAAAACGGATGGATGGAAATGGGATTTTTCCGAGGCACCAGATCAGGTGAGGCAAAATTCAAACATGTATTTTGGTGTGTTTGAATCGGTGCAGCAACAAAAGAGCTCCACGCCTCCCACCTCCGAAGGTTATGTCACACTTTCACATGGCCAGTTGTTGCTAGGCAGAACTGTTGGAATTCATTTTCATATGTGCAGCAAAGCCCAATGTAAAAATCGGTATGAGCATTGTAGAAAATGGAGGAATGCACTCTGAGTGACTTCAAATGTAGCCTGTGACCAAAGGGCCACCAATTTCAGTTTCCCTGATCAATCGGGATAGATTTGGGTGCACTGAATCTTGCTCATCTGTCTGACATGACTAAAAGTTTCACTCTTGTCTGGTGCACATAGTCCTTGTCCTCAATCCAGTCCTGACATAGTTTATTCGTCACCCTGACTCCATTTCACAACGTTGCTTTGTGGCCAGAAGAAGCAGAATGAATCTCGCGGCATTCCCTTTTTTTTTTTTTTTTTGCTTCAAAATAGAAAATGTTCAGTCTTCCTAATTTTGGAGCACTGATTTGATTGTCTATCAAGCTGCTTCTCGACATATATGCATTGTCCAAATGCATTGACGCATACTGTATCGCCATAAACGAATGTTAAAAGGCCGGTTTTAGATATGTTACACCGTAAACGAATGGCCGGTGTTATGTTTGTATTGAGCTGAAACGATCTGCGGGCCTTTAATTTTAATGCTCGCCACACCAAGAGTAACCACCAGAAGACTGCATGTTCTCAATTGAAGTATTTAATGGATGCCAGAAAAATCGACACATGGCCGTGGAGCCTTATTCTGCCAGATGTGGAAAGAAGGTCTCACCCCCCTCCCCATTGATTCCTGTTCTTATACTCCCTTGGCCACCCCAGCACAGGGGGGCGACTCTGCCGAGCCCGTGTGACAATGTGTGACTCCGTGGTCTTAACTGGATTGAACTTGTATGTGTGCCAAGGGTGCCTATAGACAAAGAAAACCACGTAAAAGGAAGAGAGAGGTCACAGCAATATAACGTCCTCGCTCAGGTCACCGGTCTCATTATACGTGCAAACTGAGCCCAATCTAACAATCATTCATTCAGTCACACATTCGCATTTCTCATGACGACCTGTCGACATGTTAATCCTTGTCAAAATAAGAATGTGACTTCAATGTTGGCGAATGTGAATTGCTTTGAATGAAACACGCTGATTAGAAGTTGAGGAAAAGTCTTGATAGGCACTTCTTGAAATGGCTGAAGAGTTCTGCTGTTTGATTGATGCCGACAGTATATATTGCACAGTCCCGATCTAACTTGCTCTTGATGAAAGAATAAAGGAGACATCATTTTCCGTATTAGGTCCATTGCTGAGTGAGCTGTTTTGCCTCTTCAAAAGGCCGCTTTGTGCAGTCACATCAGTCCTAATATGCTGCGAGCTGATTCTTTTGAGGGCCCCTGCATGGGTGTCAACCTGGTCACAGACCAAAACATGAAATAGTTTTTGCTCTGTTGCACGTGCATAGGTCCAATCCGTCATTCATTGTCGAAACATCTCCTATGAACTCTGCGTGCTGCCGCCTTTCGACGCTAGCTTCCTGTTTTATTCACTCATGTTTTGCATGTTTCCTCTCTGCTTGTAGGAGAGGGGGAGGACCGAGTGACTGAGTGATTGTCGGACACTTTGAATGACGGCGCACCTGCTGCTTCTGAGGGACTTTGATTTTCTCCATTTTTAAATTCAACTTTGTAAAATTGCTTTCGTCATGCCGTCCAACAGTCCCGCAGTCACCGAACTGTCTCGGACGCCAGAAAACAAAAGCTCCAATGACGTGGTAAGTTTATTGTTATTCTTCTTGTCACTACAAGCGCTTGAATTCTCTTGATGTAGTTTTTTTCCCCCACCAATGAAAGCAGTTCTCAGGTGTCTTAAAATCTCTGACGTACTTTCGTCACACTCCCCCAAAGATTAAGAATTTATATTATAGCTGTACAATTAACAACCATATAATCAAATTATATTCTAGCCGTATAATTAATTTTTGGTTAGCCTACTCTGCTGCTTCACTTGTGTAAACAAAGACGTCAATTTAATGTACTTTATTTTGGATGACTTTGCCTTACTATAGTTAATGTTGTTTTATAGAATATGTACATGTTGTTTTATTTGAAGTCATGTTGGGCAATATCTAAATTTGCACATTCCTATTTTATATTTTTAGCTATTAAACATTCTTGCGGCAATTCTTAAAATAAGTAACGCAGAAATGATGCAGTTCATGAATAGTTGGTTTTTTTTTTTTCACTCAGTACTGACTTGATCTACTTATTTTTTATGGCTGCTTTTTATTTTTTCATGAGTCCTATTGTCCTCAAGTAGCACTAATCTTATTTGAGTACCGTTGAACGTAATGTAATGTACCAGTAATTTTATTATTCTGAACATACACTTGTACAAATTAAAGCCTGCCCCCCCAATAGGCAACCGCCTTTGGATAGCGAAATGCTCTGTTGGCTCAGAGAGCGAGGGAGAGAGAGAGAGAGAATACGAGAAAAGAAAATGGAGAGAGCAAGTAAGGTGCGGATATGGAAAGAGAAAGCGAGAGGACGAGCTGTCTGATGCTGATGGGATCCTCCTCATCCCGCCTGGCTTGCAGTCTGGTTGCTTAGCAACTGCAGCGGCCTAAAATAACCTGCCATGAGTCAGAAATAGACCAAAGATATAGGAACAGATTGGCCAGCCTGTGTGTTTGTGCGCTTTGACACTTGCTAACATGGATACGGTTGAGTGGGCTTCTCAATATGTAGCTCGAACAACTCTTCGCACTTGCCAAGCTCGCAATATTCCGTCCGCTCGAGAGACGTGACAGTGCCGTACGGACAGCCAAGCAGGCAGACGAGCCAGTACTTGCCATTTGCTGTACCGAACGATCATCCAGGAAGCGACACCAGAGCGTTTAGTCAGCACGGCGGTCCTGTCGGAGACAGTTGCTAAGCAGTTTCTGCACCTTAGCAACCACTCTCCTGTCACTGCAACACAGGGTCCACTCGGGGAAGCAGGGAAAGGAATGAAGGCAGGCACGAACGGAAAACATTGCCGTGAAAGCGGGCAGCACACGATCTGATAACAGTCGGTGTGTTTACTCCACACCAAAATTTTTGTTGAGCCTCGGTCTGACTGAAACCAGACCGTTTTAAGTTCACGTCCACACCGTAGTCTTACTCGTGGTGTCTTCATACGTCACGTTTGCAAGACGTCAGACAAACGCGCTCGGATTATTTGAATGGAAATCGGACTTGCAGCTGGATGGTCACACCGCCTTGAAATCAGATCAGATTGATGTGCACGCTCTCGTCTCTGCGGTGAGCTGTCACAAAGAACCCAATGACATTAAATGCACAAGGTGAGAAAACAAAGTGGGTCACAAGATGCCAAGGCTTCGTATGATGGTGCCCATTTTGGATCTGAATGAACAAAATGCAATTGGGCGAGATAAAGTAGCCTACGCAGAAAATGTTGAGAAAACAAACATACGATCTCGTGACCGGTTTGGCAGCCGCTTTACAGCAACCTTTTTCCTGTCCGGCTCCTCTAATGGCAAGAGCACAGTTTACACAGTACTCGCAGGGCATCCTGAACTTGACCTATTTCTATTGGCCAGAGTGAAGATGGAGCAGACCAGGACAGTCCAGAGGAGGCGACTCTGGGGAGCCCTCCAAACAAGCGCCGAGTGGGCCGTCCGAGCAGGAAACGCAAACAGTTTCTTCCTGTGAGTACACTGCGCTTTCATCAGCCTTGCACCGACCCCTTGGCCTAGAAAGTCGATTTGACTCCCGAACGACCACTTTGATTGACGTTCTCATGCTTTGCCAAGGCCTGCGGTGTCCCCTCTTGTTGACACCACTGTATCTCCTGTCTCGTCCAGCTGCGAAAGATCACTGTCACTTTTTTGACAAATTGGGTAGCCCTTCTTTGGCATTAGACCGGTTGAAACTTGTAATTAGCCTGGATGTATTTCCTGCATTCCTGGCATTGCTGAGCATCAGCAATAAGACTCCTTATTTTTGGAAGAGCAGAAACAACAGTTGCTGTCTCTTTTATTTGATTGCGTGTGGCCTCTTCTGCTGATTGACCTCTACTTGGCTAAAATAGTAGCAAAAAAGCTTGTAGCTTTGTATGCTACAGTCAAGAGGAGCACGGTCCCTTGGGCTTTGTGTCGCAGTAAGGGAGCGAGGTTGTGTTTGAGAGCTGATGTGAGCAGTGAGGAAAGGTTGGCGCTGAGCTTCGAAGAACAGCATGTGCTCGTCATCCGCTGTGCCTGCTCTCGACTGTCTCTTTGCTACATTTTGCGCCGAAAGAGCTGTGTCAAGTCAAGCATGAAGTTTGGAGAAAGCCTTCCCACTCTACACCGTCTCGAAGCTAAAATATATTCTACAAAAGCATCAAGACAGTACAACTGTTTTATAGACCACAACTGATGTCGGTTTTATTTTTTTTACTCTCTTCATAGCACAGGATGTTGTCATTTTATGTGGTGTAAACTCAAGGTCCAAGTTCAAGCCCACCACATTGCGTTTCCCCTCAATAATCTCCTCATCAGACTCATGTTAGTTCAAGCTTTCCAAAGTGTCTTTTTCATCTCTGTGCCTTACGTCAGCCTCTCCTCCAGTTATTAACAAACACCAAATATCCTCCAGAAGTGGCCTCCTCTCTAATAGATTACACACCACAAAGAATTTCGGCCTGCGGGGGGAAAAAATGCTGATTGAAGTGACGGTGGTGTACAGTAATCTCGGAACAAATGCTGGTGAACATTACCACATTGAGCAAACATAATTAGGATTTGAGGGGGGGAAAAAAAACGAAACAATTTCATTCATGTGATATTGTAGTGAAAGGATGATAGTGAAAATGCGCAATGTACAAATGATATCCTCCCCCGCAAAGTAGTACTCTTTGCAGTTGACTAAATGAATGTCCACTGCCATTTCATGAGGTATACAGAAACTACGTTTGATTGAATCGACTCTATTGTGTGTGTGTGTTTCTACGTGTGTGTCACGAGTCAATCCAGCTGATCAAACACTAGCAGTCAAAAAGAAGGATGGAGCTAACCTGTCATCCATGTATGCACCGAGTGCAGTCATGTGCAACGGGGAGCAGGTTTGAGCATGTGTGGCTGTCGAACCAAGTGGGCGGGCTTCGCGCGGCCTCGTCTCTCACAAACACGCACACATTGTTGCAGTTTATTCCACTGTAGTTGTGGCGAGTTCCTGTGCCGTTTCCGCTCCTCTTACCTGACTTTCTGTGCCGTATGCGGACAATAGAGCATTGCATTTGCCTTTATGTTGCATTACTCTGGCCTGACAGTATTACATCAGTGTTAACTTTTCCTGTCAAGTTTCTTTGGGAGGACTGCTTTGAAATTAATCCAGATCCAGTGATTTATATTGGGTTGTATGAAAACATTTTCTATCTATCTATCTATCTATCTGATAGACTGACATCCATTTGAGCCTTTGGGGGAGTGTATCTATCTATCTATCTATCTATCTATCTATCTATCTATCTATCTATCTATCTATCTATCTATCTATCTATCTATCTAGCTAGCTAGCTAGCTATCTATCTAGCTAGCTAGCTAATCTTAGTGCTCCACATACAGTGTATCACCATGGTGTGTTATTTCTCTGTTTTGTAGTTAAGCTTAGTGCTCCACATACAGTGTATCACCATGATGTGTTATTTCTCTGTTTTGTAGTTGTAGTTCATTTCGGCTAGAAGTATATAATTTAGGATATAAAATTTGAGTAGAACATGCACACACACATGCAGACACACACACACACGTGCACCCATGCAAAGTCGACACCCAAGTAAGTTTCAGTGCTTTAAGGCAGATGTTGCGAGATTAGATTTCAACAGGACTGTCAGTTGGTGAGATGGGCTGGTAATTAAAAGTTAAGATCGCTATCTTTATGCTTAAAACAATGCAGGTGGGCTTCTTTTTGTTCACGTTTTTAGTGCGGAATGGCTATAGTGATTGTAGATGAACAACAAAACGAGTCCACATTTCACATCGTCATATTCTCTGGGCCAAAAAAAGAGAAGAACCATGTGGTTTGATACTGGCGCAAAATTGAAAAGCCAGCATCCATAATGGCAGATATACATCAAGCATGAATGGTAAATAATTCCACCAATAATTTAAAAAAAAAAGATAGATGTATGTATGGTGCAAATCAAATTACTTGAGTTGGATGTTAAAGCTGCATCAAGCAATTAAATAATAGAAGGTACAGTATAATCATTTAGAATATAATATAATATAAATACAACTTTTTGGGAGTATATTGTAACTGCTGTTTCATTGTTTTTTTTTTTTTGTTTTTTTTCAACAAAATCTGCCTTCCCAGAAGGCTATTTGGAAGACTTTAGAATATAATATAATATAAATACAACTTTTTGGGAGTATATTGTAACTGCTGTTTCATTGGTTTTTTGTTTTTTTTTTCCAACAAAATCTGCCTTCCCACAAGGCTATTTGGAAGACCGTCGGCTCATATAGAAATCCAAACAAACAACCCGAGATTTTTTCAGGAATCGGGGGACCAGGCCCGCCATGCGCCATGTACTTATATTTCACAGACGACTGCAGCGGAAAGTCTTTCTGCCGAATGAGTAAGTAGTCAGACGTTTGCTACACTATTAGCCATATCAGCTCATGTGCTTCAGCAACCTACTGCTGTGTTTATGATTCCTGGGAAATTGCTTAATGCAGCTTTAATGCCCCCCCTGGGGGTTTCAGACAATAATTGCTGTGTACTCACAACAAAGGCACTTGATGCTATTCAACTCATTTAGAAGCAAATGACAAACCATTTGACTGTTATCCGTCCTTTTTATTGCCTGTTCATTAATTTCATTTGAGCTAAGTTATTTTATATTCAGTTCACTCTTCACATTTTATTTGAATTTTGCTTAGTGAGCGCTTGGATTTTACGTAACTTTGAAATGTCTCGTTATGTTGTCAATTTTTTTTTTAATACCTGTGATGAATTTCCTCTGTGATTTTATTTAATTAATTCAACTTTATTTGAATGAATGCATGGTGGTGTGTTAACATTTGCGGCTTTTGTACAAAAGATATTTTTCTGTTATCATGAAAGCAAGGTCCGTGCCCAGCTCTGTCATTTTTAGAATCCAATGAAACAACATTAACGTAATGGAGTTGATGTTGAGGCAAATAATAGCCCGAGCATGCACGCATCTAATTCTGCATTTGGGGAACATCAACCATGAACAAGAAAATATCCTGTGCGTATGTGTGTGCTTCGGACACGATTAGTACAGTGTGTCCACTTTGTGTCTGCAATTAGACTCCGTATGAGCTGGCGAAGTCCCCAGGCCCTTTTCGTCGACATATAATGTCTCCTCTCACCTGCTCATTACAGCCTCTTTCAGCTTGTTAGCACTTGCCAGCATTGAAGTACATCGCCTCGAAGCTTTGCGTTACCACCGCCGCTCTGTTTTTTTTTTTTTTTAACGACATGTCTGTAAAACTCATCCGCTTTTAGTGACAGACACATGCACATAAAACAGCTTCTGGCCTTTTCGGCCACATGATTAAAGTGCTAATGGAAAAATCATTGGCCTATAGATTAGTTTATTGCGAAGACCTCAAGTTCTTTACTGTGTGATTACGGTATTTATTGTATCGTACCGTATAATATTATTTCAGTCAGCCAACTTGCTTAAATGTGTGCAATTGATACACCATTTCATTAACTGGCTATTGTTGAACGCAAGAATTTCCTAGATGTGTGCACATTGATGATGACGTCACCTAAATGACTCCCCTCCTTATCTCACTAGTGTGTATTGTCTTAATGTCAGTGTGGGTGTTTGTTCCACACCCTGCTGGATACGTACATCCTACTTTCTAACAAGGACAGACTAATTGGTGTGCGAGTATTGCAGCTACTTTGCGCACTGTGCGTCGTGTATTGTGTGTGTGTCTGTGTCTGTGTGTGTGTGTGTGCGTGCGCGCCGTCAGGATGTTTTTGGATTAAATCTTGACTGACAGCAGGTTACTCAGGCAGATTGCGCCATCTGTTTTCCAGGAGATGGCAACGTCTGACCCCTCTGCCCCCTCAACTCTGCCGGGGGAGCTGGAGCACTCCCCTTCCCCTCGCAAGAAACGTGGGCGTCGGAAACTAGAGCATAACGACAGGAATAAGGGTATTGTTTTTAGCACAAAGTCATCTGGTGATACAGTGGAACCTCCAAAGCCTAACAAAGGTACTTTGCCAATTATTCCGCTTTCTATTTTAAGGCGAACTTTCCCATGACAACGGTACGCCTGGAGTCGTTGTAAAAACCTGATTACCTTTTAACTGTGCAGGCAACGTTATAAGTGACACTTTAACTTTCTTACCTGCCACTCAAGTGTGAAAAACAAGTACCGGTATGTTAAAACTTGGCACAAAAACAAGCTAACAATTACTCATCCTTTCCCCTTCTGACCACACGTGACTTAAATATCGCAAGCGTGCAATTGCTTTTCACTTTGTAACCTTCTTAACTGTCACACGCCTGTATGAATGCAGTCATGGGTGTCAAACGGGAACCTTTTTGACTGATCGGATGATACTGTGGCAGAATAAGCTGGTTCTTTGTATGCAGGAAAGCATGAAGTCTCTTGATATATGCTGACGTTTCGCATGGCGTCGTGCAACGCGCGGCGCTTCTCAAAGTTTTTAAGTGGCTTTTGAAGCCGAGTTTGGGGTTTGAGGTTCCACTGTATTTTGAACATGTTCATCCATGTATTTCGATGCCTGTTGCCAATTTATGCATTCGTCTGAGCGGAGAAATGATTGTATTCGATTTGAAAGATCTTGGCGGAAAAACAAACTGAAAATGTTATTATTTTATTCTGTCATTTGAGTCTTGATGGGGGTGGGGGGCATGACTGCAGCTAAAATAACTTCCAGATGGCAGTCTTTGAAGGCATTTGGACTTGAAATATGTGTGCCAGAGAAAAGTCATAAAAGCCACAAGTATGGATCCTTATTAAGCCTCTTGTTAATTCAGTACAAATGGCCCATTTCCTGTCATTTACCTTCTTTAGATGAAGCCGACGACAGAAGCTGTGACTCCCCTCGAGAGGTGAGTAAGGTGCTTCTTCTCCCATTCCTTTTTCTTTTTCTTTTTTTTTTTTTATTTATGTTTCTTTTCCCCACTCCCAACAATGAAGTGAAATATTCTTACAGTACAAGCGGTGTGTAGTCAGTTCAGGATATATCAAGCTTTTGTGGCTGTGTGTGCAGGGTGAGACAGGGAGGTTGCGTAGGAAGCCGGTCCCCAGGGTGACTTTCCAGGCTGGAGACCCGTACTACATCAGCAGGAGACAGAAAGAAGAATGGCTCAGCCGCTGGAAGATGGAGGTGTGAGCTGCAGTCATAAGAAGGCTTTTCTTGACATATTTTGTTCAATTTACTCATAAGAATCATCATAATAAACATACAGTATACTTTCAAGCAGTCCATTTGGGAATTAGGGCATTCTCAGGATGTTCATTTCGGCTCACACGTGAACCGAAGTAGTTGCAGGAAGTTGTGGTTTTGTCTGTAGCACAGAAACGGAATTAAATAAACGGAAGTCCCCCATAGCACTTTCAACAGAATGGGACTGCTTAGTTTTCTGTCATTAAAAAAAAAAAAAAAGACTTTCAGATGAACCGAGCATTTGTCATGCACCTTTTGGTGGCCTTGAACTTTAACAAGAGTCAAGAGGTTATCCTCGAGCCCCCGTTTGCTGGCGGTGGGTCATTGGCATGTATTTGTATTGTGGGAGAAATGGGTTGGTTCTTTTGCCCACCCGTCAATTGTGAAATCACACAACGGAGCGCATCTCTCGCACGCTACTCAGCTACCTATTTTCTGAAAACTGCAAGCAAGCTGTTGGGAAGCGTTGCCAGACTGTGACCTAACAGTTGGGCTACCGGCTTTGAGTTTGACAGCTGGGCTTGGGTGAAGATTGATCACTTCCAAGCCACAGTGCGACGGCACGGACGCACATGTCAAGCAGATGCATGGGTCCGAAACATGAATTGATTTGTAATTTGGTGGCTTGCTCATTGAACTATTTGCTTTGAGTGAGAATACAATCAGTGCTCTTCGTGTCTTCATCCTTTTGGGGTATTTTGACAAAAACATGCCATAGATACCTTTAAACTCTTTCTGTTAGCATGTTGTATGACTGGGGAAAATATTGGACTGCTATATTTTCAGTACGCACGGGAGCATACGGCTCGATGGCCCATCTTGCTGACACATTAAGATGTGAACGCTTGAGAGAAGGACAACATAATCACATGCGACTGAGCAGCTTGCCAAGTGCTTTGCTGTATTTGTTGTAGTCGGCAGCGCGTTATAAATACAACATCTTCAGCTGACTTTGATTGTTAAATATAGGCACCCTACTACAGGTTTATGTAGTAGTGCAACAATAGCACACAAACATTCTAAATGGGACAGACGTGCAGAAAAAAAAGGTGCCTTCAGACAGAGTGCGTAATTATACGAAAGGCAGAGAGCAAGTGCCACTTCCTGCAAGCGAGTCTGCTCACTTCCTGACGTTACTTACCATCAAGCCACAAATAACATGTTTTTTTTTTTTTGTCTGTGTGTGTGCCATCATTTTCTGAATTGCTTTCATATATGCTGCACTTTGTGGTCGACAATATTGTTCGACCAACCGGGACCCTTTTCATGTTTCCTTAACTAACTTTTCTGTTTGTGTGCAGTACACACCGACAAGAGCGGTGTTCCATTCCCAGCCTGAATCGGGCTGTATGAAAGGGGTAAAGGTTAACCACTTCCATGTCTTGGTGTGATTTTGGACTATTGTGTGGATGCGTGCGTGTGTTTGTGTGTGTGTGTGTGTGTGCGCGTCTGCGCTTGTGCGGGTTTTTACTCTGTCAGTCAGCTGAACTGCAACCGGCTGTTAAGAGTCCCATTAAAGTCTCATCCCACTGCCTTTTGAAGGAAACGTGGTCTCTGCGGTAGTTTTGAGAGGGGAAAATATCAGCCATGTGTCAACTTTTTAAGTTACAGTCAAGAAAGGAAATACTGGACACACTATTCTTCGTTTCTTCTTCTACTGACACCTCCTTTGGAATTGAGGACTCGTGAGGTACTGAGTTTATTGGTTTTTTTTTTTTTTGTTTTTTTTTTACATAACATATCAGCTGGTACTCACCGTACAGAGTTGGAGGGTTCAATTCCATCTCCGGCGTTCTTGTGTGGAGTTTGTATGTTCTCCCCGTGCCTGCGTGGGTTTTCTCTGGGTACTCCGGTTTCCTCCCACATTCCAAAAACATGCGTGGCGGGTTGATGGAACCCTTGAAATTGTCCCAAGGTGTGAGTGTGAGCGCGAATCGTTGTTTTTTTCCTATGTGTGCCCTGCGATTGGCTGGCAACCGGTTCAGGGTGTCCCACTCCTACTGTCCGAAGAGGGCTGGGATGGGCTCCAGCACACCCGCAACCCTCGTGAGGATAAGCGGATTAGAAAGTGGATGGATGGATATATCAGCTGTTTGTCGTTCAGCATTGTTGTTAGAGGGAATGTTTTCTTTCATTGATCATTCTTTCAGTTTGTCTTCATAGTTTGACCTATTTTGTTTCGCTTGTAAAAGCACTGGAGCGGCTTTGGAGCGGAAATGTTTTAATTAATTTCCAATCTATTTGTTGAATCAGTTTTCTTGCTCGTGCCTTAGTAAAAAATCGGCATTTAAAATATTCCGCCAGTGGATGGATCCTGTAAAAAATATGCAGGTTGAATGTTTTTCACAGTAGAAAAAAAATCTTTTGTATGGGCATGAGAGATCATAACTATCACATGCTATTTCATATAAGCTATGCATGCTCACGCAACATATGCACGCATTTAAACGCCGGCATGGATCTGTTGTTTGGTATCCATGGTGTCATCATCACACATAAATCCCAGAGGCTTCCGCACATTCATCGAAATGAGTAGTGACTCTGTTGTGGGAGTTCACCTCATCATGTGTGAGGTGAGGAAGCCCGTAAATCAGTCGCTTGGTTCACGGCTGACCAATCAGAAGAGCGTAAGCTGGAAGAATGTTTGAGTGCGTGAGTCAAGGAGACGACCAGAGAGGAAACTGTCGGAGGAAGAGAGACACTGAAGAAAATGACAGAGAGAAAGAGAGCCAGGGAGGAACAATGCCATGTCCTATCTGTAAGTTTCACTTTTTTTTTGACCTAACAGTTTAAATATCCCTTTCTGTTATTATAAGTTTATTTCAGAAAAATACACTTTTTGCAACACTTTTGATATAGAGTCCATTGAGGACATTTTTGTTTGCTAAGAAAAACAACACTGAAAAACTGGGATGGCATTCATTTGGAGATAAGAGTTTAGTTTGGCTATATTGCACTTTGAAGTGTTTTAGATTGCAGCTTCAAATCTGTCAGGGTTGGGGTTTTGGTTGTTTGGATTGCCTTGTCAGGTTGATGTGCTTTGGGCCAGCTGGAGTTTAGGCGCTGTTCAACTATCACTCACAGAACTTTTTGCCTCGTGACTCTTACCAGATGCTAACGTTCCAATCAAGGAGTTATTCTTTGTTGTTGTTTGTTATTTTTGATCATAATCATAATAATCAGCCAAAGAAGAAACTCATGACGACTCATCATTAAAAAGGACCTGTTGTGCAGGAAATAAGGAGGGCGGGGGATGGCATTCCAAATGAGCACTCTAGAAGATTTATTATTAATTGGACAGAAAAATCAGTTGTATTTCCAAATAGCGTTCTGATACAGCTACCTCCATGTTTTCTCGTGCATGAAGTCACAAGATTATCAAGAATGAAAGAGCAGTCATTTGCCTGTTGACAGTGGGGGAGGGGGGTCTTAACTCCTCTTTTAATGGTCCTGAATGTGTGTGTGTCTCTGAGTTCACTTGGAGGTCAGGGTCAGTCACGGCTGTAAAGGGGGGTGTGGTTTCGAAATGGTTCACTGGCGAGGTCACAGGGTGTGGGGTCACAGATCAAGGGGGTGTCACCAGGACTGAGCACACTGGCCAGGTCGCAGGGTTTGCTAAAGTTCAAAGCTGTAACTCATGGCAACCCTCCTCATGTCTTTGTTTGGAAATACTCGATAACTGCAATGCTTCTGTGAGTTGTTCTTTTCGTCATTTCGCCGCATGGCTTCTTGTGTGTGGTGTGACAAATGCTCCAAGTTGCTGTGTTGTAGAATAAAGCATCGATGCAATCATTTGAACAACCATCGTTAGTTGTTCAAAAAAACCCCCCCCCCCCCCCCCCCCCCCCGTTCAAATGTCAGGTTTTTGTGATGTTCAAAAATGAGATCAAGATAACTGATGTTTTTTTTTATTCATTAAATAGGAATAAGCTGCTTGCGAGATTTGAAGGCTCACTTCACTTCACATCTCCACGGCTAGTTAAGCGTGATTGTGAATTTGGTAGCTGTACTTTGCCTCGCTGGGCCTTCTGTGTGACGCGTCTGCCGCACATGGTGAACAATTGCCCACGTCACATGCGAGGCCGACTACATCATCCGCAAGGGCAGATCTTGCAGTTTGCCTGGTATTGTCATGCACAGACCCCATTGAGTCTATTTCTTTTTTTGTAACATCAAGCACAGCATGCGCGACAACTACCCTGGCCCAATAAGTGTACAGCCTAATAGTTTTTATTTTTGAAATACATTTCCATAATATGCTGTAGGCTGTATTTACACAAGCATCCCAATATTTAAGAAACCTGCAGAGATATGAATTTTCTCTTACACGACACATTTTTGTGTGTTTGTGTCGGCGTATTATTGTGTGTGGTCTGCCTTTGGCCCATGGAACCGGACGATTAGAAGTTTATAAGGTCAGAAGTCAACATCAGCCAAGAAGAGTTTTCGGGTCAAACTGAGGGGAGAGTGAATAGTCGCTCTCACTTTTACTGTCTCTTTCAGTGAGTAATTTATGCCATCGTTTTACTGTTGCTTGTTTCACACATTCATTCCTTTAAATGTTGTTTACAGGCCAGCTGGAGTCGTGAACAATGTGCTATGTAAATCATTCTGACCCATTCAAACAATTTTTTTCTTTCATGGTCTGCCCTCGTTTTGTTGCTTTCACATCAGCCAGATTGAGACTGTTGAAGTGGGTTGAGGTTCCGGTCCTTTAATTGAACATTTTTTTTTTCTTTAGTACACATCCATCCCGCTGTCATTCTGACTGGAAGATCAAGTTTTACATGTTGGTTTTTATGGTAATACATAACATATGAAGACTGATGGGTTGAATGTCATTTTTCCATCTTATTTGTGCCTCGAGCATTTTTTTTTTTTTTTTGAATGAGTGAATTATTTCACATTAGCTAACACCCGTTCACTTTTTAATGCGCTTGCATATGTTGTGGTAAGAGATTAAGTGGCAACAATGTTATCAGGACCGAGGCCGTTCTCTTTTGTTTGCTTGACGTAACCATTGCCATCTAGTGCCTTATCGTTGTCAGAGCGCACACTGCTGATTGCAGATGGCCTCTCGTTACAACGTGCTCGAGCAAACAAAGACAAACTACAGAGCCGCGCACTGTTTACACTTGGTTAGCA